AAGGGGTTTCACCGTGTTAGCCAGGATGGTCTTGATCTCCTGACCTCGTGATCCACCCGCCTTGACCTCCCAAAGTGCTGGGATTACAGGCGTGAGTCACCACGACTGGCTCTCTCAGGGTAATCTTAATGGAGCTGTTTATTCACTGGATAGTGGACTGTCCATATCTTAATTCTGGTATTTTCTTCTTCCCATTGGATGGTAAGGCTGCATGTACACATCACAGCTGAAGTTCAGGCAGCAAGAACACTGGACTTGGAGTCAGAAGGCCTTGGTTCAGCATCAGCTCCTCCTCTTTGAGTTTCTGTTTCTTCCTCAGTAAAATTGGGCTTCATTTATCATGCAATAAACATGTATATACTCAGTACAATACTGTGTTCAGGCCCTGTGGCTGGGTGCTAGGGGCCCGAACATCTGTACTGCTTCTCTCAGAGTGGTAATGAGAGGATCAATTCCTAAATGCATAAAAATATAACAGGGAACGGAATTCCAGGCACTGAGTTGTGCTTTCTGCAGTTTCCTTAAGTAGAGGAAATGAAACTGGATTCATTACGAAGCAGTGTTATAATACAGTGGCTAAGAACTCAGGCTCAGTAACCAAATTGCCTAAGTTCAAATCCTGGCTCCACCAGAATTTGGAGGATGTTGCTGAACCTCTCTTCAATTCAGTTTCCTCTGCCTGTAAAATGGGAGTAAGAACTATAGATCTCCTCATGTGGTTGTTGTGAGGATTTAATGAGTCATTATGTGTAAAACTCTTAAAGCAGAGTGTAGCACATAGTGCTCAATATACATTAGCTGTTATTATTATTATTTGGGATGTACAACACATCAGATCACATGTTTCTAACACAGATATGACCAAGTTGATATCAGAGAGTGATCTGGTTGTGATAATTTTCTCTCTACTTGTGGACAAGCTTCATTCCTGTCATCTGGCCAATGAAGTCAATGTCCATTCACTTACTTGCTGGTCCATGAACATCCTCCCAAGGCTTTCTAGCTAGAGGAGGGAGCCTCAGAAGCAACTACTGGAAACTCCAGACCAGCCCCCCAGGTCTGTGTGGAGAAGAAGATGGGGTAGTCAGCTCCCTACTAGGAACTACTGATTCTGTCCATTATTTCAAGAGGTATAATGTGTTTATCTTATTTCTCCAATCATGCATATCTTCATTCCCAAAATCTTTACATGGTTTGTCATGGCTGTTAGATTTACAGTCATTCTATTTACGTTTAAAATTGTTTTTCTTTCTTTCTTTTTCTTAAGACGGAGTCTGGCTCTGTTGCCCAGGCTGGAGTGCAGTGACATGATCTCGGCTCACTGCAAGCTCCGCTTCCCAGGTTCACACCATTCTCCTGACTCAGCCTCCCGAGTAGCTGGGACTACAGGCACCCATGATCACGCCCGGCTGATTTTTCTATTTTTAGTAGAGATGGGGTTTCACCGTGTTAGCCAGGATGATCTCGATCTCCTGACCTTGTGATCCGCCCGCCTTGGCCTCCCAAAGTGCTGGGATTATAGGTGTGAGCCACCGCGCCCAGCCTAAAATTTTGTCTAAATGATTTATGCAATCTGGGTAAATTAAGGAAATGGTCCTTATATTGAGCATTTGTGTTTAGCCAATATTTTTTATTAAAAAATTTTTTTTTGAGATGGAGTCTTGCTCTATTGCCCAGGCTGGAGTACAATAGTGTGATCTTGGCTCACTGCAACTTCTACCTTCTGGGATCAAGCAATTCTCCTGCCTCAGCCTCCTGAGTAGCTGGGACTACAGGCATGTGTGACCACGCCCAGTTAATTTCTGTAGTTTTAGTAGAGACAGGATTTTACCATGTTGGCCAGGCTGGTCTTGAACTCCTGACCTCAAGTGATCTGCCCACCTTGGCCTCCCAAAGTGCTGGGATTGCAGGTGTGAGCCACTGCGCCTGGCCTAGCCAATATTTTTAATCATACAGAAAGTGCCTTTGCAAAATTATGACAGTAAAAAAAATCTGACATAGCTGATTCCATCTTGCTTCTAACCTGTAAGCTGTCCTCATTCATTCCCGGGCATAGGCCACAGCTAACTTGGGAGGAATTTAGTTCATAGTCTAACCCTAAAGCAAGGATTGTAATATTCCCTTTCCAAAACTATTCCCTCCTTGTTTGAACACCAAACTACCTTTGTAACAGGATTAAGAGAGGTCTGAACTTTGCTAAGATAAAGGCATAGTTAAATGATTACCTGCCATTTTTCCAGAGGTCACAAGATTTCTAACCTCTCCATCACTCCTATAGATAATACCACTATTGTAAAACTTAAGATTTGTGTTTGAGGTATTTTTCACACCCTGCATTCTGATGGACCAGTTGCCACCACCCAGTCTGGCTCATCAGGTCCTGTGGCCCTTACTCAGGAACTGACTCAGTACAAGAAGACAAACTTCAACTCTCTATAATTTCATCCCTGACCTAACCTATCAGCATTCCCCATTACTTAGCCCTCTGCCCACCAAGCTATCCTTAAAAGAAAACCTTAGGTGGGCCCGGCGCAGTGGCTCACGCCTATAATCCCAGCACTTTGGGAGGCCGAGGTGGGCGGATCACGAGGTCAGGAGATCAAGACCATGCTGGCAAACACGGTGAAATCCCATCTCTACTAAAAATACAAAAAAATTAGCTGGATGTGGTGGCAGGTGCCTGTAGTCCCAGCTACTCAGGAGGCTGAGGCAGGAAAATGACATGAACCTGGGAGGTGGAGCTTGCAGTGAGCTGAGATCGTGCCTCTACACTCCAGTC